ATTTCATTTTGTAAAGCCACTCTGAGGAAATTCCTTGGAGAGACGGTGTAGATGTTTTCCAAATAAATAAATAATTTTTTACAAATGAAGGGTCTTTTTGCATATGGAGTACTTCCTCAAGAGACAGAAAAAGGCTGACTTCTCCTTCCCTGTCCTGAGGGGACATATATCTCCTCAAACAAGGAGCACGATGATGGATGTGCTGCCATGAATGCTTGGAGCAAAAGGCCTGTCCACTGTCTCCTGGATTGTAGAGAAGCAGTTCCTCTTCGGTTGATCCTTCCAGTCCCTTCTGTCCCCCACTTTGTCTGCCTGTTTTTTGCCCTTGCTTGTAGTTAGACAGAGGCTTTTCGAGGCCTCCAGTTCTTACTTGGGAAAGCACCATTTAGTAATGACGGGCTGGGCTAAGTGGCCTTTCTTTCCTGGAGCTCTTATTGGATTTGTTTAAACGGCTTTGTAGGTGGTTATTAAACATTGCTTTCTTGAACATGTGTGCCCAGCAGAAATTTCTCCAGGCTGGATTAATTCACAGACTCTGCTGTTTATCTCTAAGTAGGTGGAATATCCTGCACCTGGTGAGTGCTGGGGTATTACCCCAACAGGAGGATTCCTTTATTCCTCACTAACCATCCACTCCTGTCCAGACATGAGCCCAGAGGGGTTGTCACACTCCTTACATGCTGATAATTACACAAGAATTTGCTCCTCTCCAGTGTCCTCCCTTTTCTGTCTCCCCCTCCCCCCAGAAGATGGGACCTCGAGAGAAGAGGAAGGCCTTGCGTCAGAAGAAGTGCTGGAGAGTTTACCAGGAGGATCTCAAGAGGACATTTCCTTCCCAACTGAACTGGGTGAGAGGGAGAATCTTTAGCGGCTCTTTCAGGAAAACAAACAAGGCATATCCGGGAAGGATCTCTGCCATGTAGCCTGATGAGGTTGTATTCTCCTGCATCATGATCCTAGGCCTGAGGCTGAGGAGTGGTGCACCTTGTGGGCCTCAGAACAGCCTTTCTCTCACACAGAGGCCTCAGGCCTTGCTGCAGATTTTCTCGCAGGCCTAGCTTTGCCAGGCCCCCTCCAAGCATCACCACCAGGCCACGTCCCTTCCCCTGACATCCTGAAAGGGGAGATTTGGGGGGGGGGAGAGGTTCCCCCGGTTCCTCCTCTCCCCACCCCAATTCCTCATGTTTTCCAGTGATTTCCCCTCTTGTTACTACAGAAGCAAAACAAGGTGAGACGCGCGATGTGGAACTGACGGTGATCGTTGGTCTACTGATTTTGGCATGGCTTTTCAAAACTTCAACTGGAACTAAATGGGGTAGCCAGGCTACTGTCAGGGTTGGGATACAGGGATGATTATCACCCTGGTGCTGAAAGATCTGTTCTGAGTGCTGGTTCAGGGCACAATTATAACCTATGTGGCCCTGAATGGATTGGGGCCAGGTTACTTGAAAAGACTGCCTCCTCCCCTGCTGTCCAACCCGCCAGCTAAGACCCTCCTTACAAGCTCTGCCCTGCTTTTAGAGTTTGGTTGAGTGACAGCCACAGACAGGCCTTTAACATGGTTGGCAGCTTGCCTGTGAGATGTCCTCCCCCTTGAGGTTTACCTGGTGCCTACGCTACTTTCTTTTAAGTGCCAGGCCAAAATGTTTCTCTTTACCCAGGCTTTTCATTAAGGTTGTTTTTACAAAAATCATTGTGTTATCCCCTATTTTTAGCCAGAGGAATACTTAAAATCCATTTCCATGTTTTTCTGTTTTATGCTCTAGCTGGGGTTTTGACAGCTGTGTTTTAAAAGCTTTTCTGGTTTTGTTATATTTTATTCTGTAAGCTACCTTGCAGAAATTCTGTGCAGACATGGCATGATAATGTTCCAAATAAATGAGTAAATTCTGCAAATGAGGAGACTTTCTGCATATAGGAGAGCTCCTAAAATAGCAAAAAAAGGCTGACTTCTCCTTCGCTCTCCCCAGGGGACAAAAATCTTCTCAAAGTTAGAAGCAGGAAGATGCCATGGTTGTGCCGCCACAGAGTCCTTGAAGCAAGAGGCCTGTCCATTGGCCATTCCACTGCTGAGAAGCAGTTCATCTTTTGACTGCCCTTCCGGTCCCTCTGCCCCTCTCGTCTACAGTTTGGTGTAGTGGTTAGCAGCGCGGACTCTAATCTGGGAGAACCGGGTTTGATTCCCCACTCCTCCACATGCAGCTGCTGGTGTGACCTTGGGTCAGTTACAAGTTTTTTCAGAGCTGTTCTCAAGAGCAGTTCTCTCAGAACTCTCTCAGCCCCACCTACCTCGCAGGGTGTCTGCTGTGGGAAGGGGAAGGAGATTGTAAGCTGCTCTGAGACTCCTTCGGGTAGTGAAGGGCGGGGTATAAATCCATCCATTTCCTCCTCCTCCTTTTCTCTTGTTTGTAGTTATATAGATGCTCTTCCAGGCCCCTTATTTAAGAAAGTACTATTTGGTAATGACAGGCTTTGCTAAGTGATCTTTCTTTCCTGGAGCTCTTATTTTATTTCTCGCTCTCTCTCCGTTTCAGCAGTCAGCAGGAGATGCACCAGAGACAGAGGGAAAGGGGAACCCAGGAGAGGTGTCTTCAGAAAGAAATGAGAATCTGGATGTGAAACTTTGGAATCTAGATGGACCTCTGAGGCCGTGGAAAAGAAAAAGGGAAGGAGAACAGAAGCAGAGCAAGAAATTAGTTGCCTGTCAGGGCAGAAACATGTATGAAATCACAGTACAAAGCAAAATACAAAAAGAAAATGGAGAGAATGAGTGCCCTGTGAAAGGGGCAAGGTTCAGCTGCATATCCAGTGTTAAGAAAGACCAGAAGATCCAAACAGGCAAGAAAACATATAGTTGCTTGGAGTGTGGGAAGAGCTTCAGTTGGAAGGACAGCCTTAATTTACATCAGAGGATTCACACAGGGGAGAAGCCTTATCACTGCTTGGAGTGTGGAAAGAGCTTCAGACAGAGCCACCACCTTATGTCACACCAGCTCATTCACACTGGGGAAAAGCCATTTAGTTGCTCAGTTTGTAGCATGAGCTTTTCTCATAAATCAGGTCTTATTCAACATAAGAGAATTCATACAGGGGAGAAGCCCTATCGATGTTTGGAGTGTGGGAAAAGCTTCAGGCAGAGCCACCACCTTACTGCACACCAGCTCATTCACACTGGGGAGAAGCCATTTAATTGCTCAGATTGTAGCATGAACTTTTCTCATAAATCAGGCCTTAATCAACATAAGCGGATTCACACAGGGGAGAAGCCGTATAAATGCTTAGAGTGTGGGAAGAGCTTCAGTCAGCATGTAAGCCTCAATATACATCAAAGGACTCACACAGGAGAGAAGCCCTATCAGTGCTTGGAGTGTGGTAAGAACTTTTCTCAGAGTGCCCACCTCACGAGCCACCAGCAGATTCACACAGCAGAGAAGCGCTATAAATGTTTGGAGTGTGGAAAGAACTTCTCTCAGAGTGGCAACCTCACTGACCATCAACGGATTCACACAGGAGAGAAGCCCTATCAGTGCTTGGAGTGTGGAAAGAGCTTCAGATGTAGAGTAAGCCTTGCTTCACATCAGCTCATTCACACTGGGGAGAAGCCATTTCAGTGCTCAGATTGTAGCAAGAGCTTTTCTGCTAAATCAAGCCTTTATCATCATAAGAGGATTCACACAGGGGAGAAGCCGTATCAATGCTTGGAGTGTGGGAAGAGCTTCAGACAGAGACTCCACCTTACTTCACATCAACTCGTTCACACTGGGGAGAAGCCATTTAATTGCTCAGATTGTAGCATGACCTTTTCTCATAAATCAGGTCTTAATCAACATAAGAGGATTCATACTGGGGAGAAGCCATATAAATGTTTGGAGTGTGGGAAGAGCTTCAGTCAGCATGTAAGCCTCATTACACATCAAAGGATTCACACAGGAGAGAAACCCTATCAGTGCTTGGAGTGTGGTAAGAACTTTTCTCAGAGTGCCCACCTCACGAGCCACCAGCAGATTCACACAGGAGAGAAGCGCTATAAATGTTTAGAGTGTGGAAAAAACTTCTCTCAGAGTGGCAACCTCACTGACCATCAGAGGATTCACACAGGGGAGAAGCCCTATCAATGCTTGGAGTGTGGGAAGAGCTTCAGACAGAGACACCACCTTACCTCACATCAGCTTATTCACACTGGGGAGAAGCCATTTCAGTGCTCAGATTGTAGCAAGAGCTTTTATGATAAATCAGGCCTTAATCAACATCAGAGGATTCACACAGGGGAGAAGCCCTATCAATGCTTGGAGTGTGGGAAGAGCTTCAGACAGAGACACCACCTTACCTCACATCAGCTTATTCACACTGGGGAGAAGCCATTTCAATGCTCAGATTGTAGCAAGAGCTTTTCTGATAAATCAGGTCTTAATCAGCATAGGAGGATTCACACAGGGGAGAAGCCTTATCAATGCTTGGAGTGTGGGAAGAGCTTCAGGCAGAGACCCCACCTTAATTCACATCAACTCATTCACACTGGGGAGAAGCCATTTCATTGCTCAGACTAGGGTGAGCTTTTGTTACGAATCAACATAAGAGGATTCACACAGGGGAGAAACCTTTAAAATGTTTGGAATGCGGGGTAGGTGTCAGTCCCAGTGCAAGGTTTACTCATCACTGAAGAATTCACACTAGGGGGGAGAACATCAGAGTGGTCACAAAGTGGAGGAGCTGTCTAAATGCTGAGACTGAAACAAGAGCCATTCTCATGAATCTGGCTTTATTGTACTTCTGTGGATTCACCCAGAGAAATGGCATCAATCCCTGGATTTTTTTTCTCTGTCAGTGAACTACAGCATAAAACAGGAGAAAGTCTTCTAGCTGTCTTTCACGAGCAAATAAGAACCGGTCAATCATACCTCCAACTGGAGTACGATAAAGGGGGGGTCACTCTTCCATTGAACAGTGGTCAGAATAGCCACTGTGTGCTGCTGCTTGTAACATGTAAGATCTCCATATTGTGGTTTTATTATTTTCTTATGGAAAGCCACCTTGTGAACTCTTTCAGCTGACAGCATGGGATGTAAATAGGCATGGCTGGGTTTTTTAAAACAATAGTCATTTTACAGTCTGCATAATATTGGCATGTATCTGACCGCTCCATCTGGTGGTTGTTGCTGTAGCTGAAAAAGGATCCTGCAGACGTGGTAAAGAGGGCCAGCCAAGATTATTAAGGAGACAGTGGAAAGAGCGAGCATTTTCTCTCTCTCCTAAAATACTAGAATTCGGGGGGCACCCTGTGAATTTGATGGGGAATAGATTCAGGATGGGCAAAAGGACCATCAAATAAATAATACACTTGCCCATTATGCAGTAACGGCAGAATTAATAACCTATTCGAGAAATAGATCATTTTTGAAAGTAGAGGAGAGGTGGATTATTTCTTACGCAAGTAGGAGACAAATTTAGAATGAGAAATAGTTTAAAAATTGTATATAAATGTATTGCTATGCATATAAATGTATAACAATGCAGAAACAGAATGAGAACAAGTTTTGAATATTAATGCATGAGGAAGTCGATTTTGGAGAAAAATATCTGTTATGTTTGGTCTTTTATGTGAGATATACTATAGACTTTCTTTTAAGCTTTGGTCCTTTAAAAGTTATAGCTAGTATGTCGAAATGATGGAAATAAAGAATATGCAATAATGATGAAAGTAATAATATAGTTGCAAAATAGATTGGTTATGAAATTTGAAATTTAAAATGTTTGAAGTCAGGACCATTGTATCTTATAGAAAATGTGTTAAAACTATAATGAAAGGGATGTCGGGAAGAAATATTTACTATTTCTGTTCTATATATCCTGCAGTGTATAATAATTTTGATATATATAATTTGTCATATAATCCCTCTTTTCCTTTTGTATCCCCTCTATATTATATTTTACGTTTAAAAATAAGTGGATTCTAGATCAAATCAAGCCTGAACTCTCCCCAGAAGCTAAAATGACTAAACTGAAGCTATCGTACTTTGGTCACATTATGGGAAGAGAAGAGTTACTGGAAAAGACAATAATACTAGGAAAAGTTGAATGCAGCGGGAAATGAGGAAGAGTCCAGGGCTTTTTTTGTAGAAAAAGCCCAGCAGGAACTCATTAGCATAATTGGCCACACCCAACAGCAGAAACGTATTAGCATATTAGGCCACACCCCTAACAGCACAGGTCCTTAGCATATGAGGCCACACCCCTGTGTTACCAGAAGTGTGCTCATCCAGCCACATCCACCTTTTGCTTAATATTCTGTTTACCTTGTTTGTTGTCAAAACCCAGGGCTTTTTTTGTAGCAGGAACTCCTTTGCATGTTAGGCCACACACCCATAATGTAGCCAATCCTAATGAGTTTCTGCTGTTGGGTGTGGCCTATTATGCTAATGAGTCCCTGCTGGGCGTGGCCAACTCAGGAGCCAGCCGGAACTCCGTTCCTGTGCGTTCCTGCCCAAAAATAACCCCGAGGAAGACCCAACATGAGGAGGATTGACTCAATAAAAGAAGCCACAGCCCTCAGTTTGCAAGAGCTGAGCAAGGCCACAATAGGACATTTGGGAGGATATAAATTCATAGGGTCACCATAAGTTGGAACCGACTCGACGGTACTTAACGCACAAAAGTAGATTTGTAGAGCATCGGTCTATCAATTGCTACTAGCCATGGTGACTAAAAGGAACCTCCACGTTCAGAAGCAGTCAACCTAAGAACATAAGAAGAGCCCTGCTGGATCAGACCAATGGTCCATCTAGTCCAGCATCCTCACACACAGTCTCACACAGTGGCCAACAAGTTCCTCTGGACGCCCAACAACAGGGCACAGAGGCCAAGAGGTTTAGAACCTCTGAATGTGTGGAGGTTCCCTTCAGCCACCATGACTAGTAGCCACTGATAGACCTATCCTCCACGAATCTATCTAAACCTGTGGCCATCATTACATCCTCTGGCAGCGAGTTTTATATTTTAATCATTCTTTGTGCAAAGAAGTATTCCCTTTTGCCCATCCTGAATCCCAGAGCCAGGAGGCAACCTCAGGGGAGTGCCCTCAGCCTCCATACCCTGTTGTTGTACCTCCAGAGGAACTAGTTGGTCACTGTGTGAAATAGGATGGTGGAATATATGGACTCTCGGTCTCATCCAGCAGGGCTCTACTTATGCCTTCTGCTCTGCAAAGTTTGTCGCACTTCTCCATCAGAAGAACCACTTCAATAAGAGAAGGGCTCTCTGGCTCCAGCAAGGCATCAAATTTTGTGGAGCAGAGTGGGCAGAGAGATGCCCGTATGTTTGCTTTTCTTGCATGTTTGCTAATGGATATTCAATTATAGCAATGATATTGCTGACAGATATTAAATGCCCTTTTTAATGCTGAAATACTTTAATGTCTGGATGTTCAGCAGCTTGGGGACCCTATTTTGGGCATAAAGGCAGCATAGAAATGTCTTAAATAAAGAAGAGTCAAGCAGGGAGCAGATTTTTTTTTTGTGCAGAGCCAGGGGATCTCTCAGATCTCCCAAGTCCACCCTTAACCGGCAAGATTTTGGAATTATTTGACGAGAAAAGTTTTTAGAGGACATGTCTCATGTAACAGAGAACCAGTGAATCTCTTAGTAAAACAGGGTCTTTTCTAAATCCATGTTGGATGTGCACTTGAACTCCTTTGCTCCATGAAACTTTCTTTTATAGTGTGAAAGAGTAAGAATTATCCTCCCACACAGGACTGCACTCCCCGTGTTTCTGCTGAGTTTGATGTCTAAAAACATCCACTGGCTGGAAGGGTTCATGCACAGAGCGGGGGGGGGAGCATACAGAGACACAACAGCCAGCTGCCTCTCGCGGTGGCTTACTCTTCTGCATCAAGGATGAGTCAGTCAAATCTGATTTAGGACATTGTATCATTCTTGGAATCTATCAGAAGCCAGTGGGAAGGAAGAAGGCGAGGTCAGTGAGCTGACAGGCAGAGAGACTGCAGGCAGACTCCTGTGCTTGAAGAGGTGTTTGGGGCTCCCAGCAGCTTTTATTTGATTGATATATTTGTTGTAGCACACTTGCAGTTCTCTCAGGGCTTTGGGAATTACTGAACAAGGGACTGGAGACCAGGGTTGCAGTCATAACCATCACTTTCTGGAGAGCGTTCCTCACAAAATTCAAGGAAACCTCCTTCCGAACAGACGTGCTTAGGATCCCATTGCAAGGTCTTAATCTGGGTCCTTTCTCATCCCACTGGGTCACACTTTGCAAAGCACAGATTCAATTTACTTGGACCAGTTTTATTGAAATACAATACAGACCATAGAAATGACCAGAGGTCATTTCGGGGGGGGGGTCGCGGGGGATCGCAGTTCCCCCGGGTGAGGTGTGGGGGGGCACACGATGAAGCCACACCCCCTGCTTCCGGCCGCCCCGCTTCCGGCCCTCATTCAGCCAGGAGGAGGCAGGAGAAGAGGGAGGGTAAGTTGCTTCCTCCCCGCCTCTCCCTACCCCTGCCTGCCTGGGGCCAGGGAGGGCCTTGGCGGGGCTTCCTCGCACTCCCGCCGGCCTTGCAGGTCCACCGCCGGGCCTTATGAAGTTAGGGGGTGTGGCATATGCTAATGAGTTATGCTAATGAGTTCCCCTAGCTCTTTTTCTACGAAACGTCCCATGGAAATGACATTTCAAACCACATTCAATATACAAGGTAAACGGAATAGATGAATGAAATAACCAACCCATTACCAGGCAATTGCACGCATGCCGGGACTTGATGGTACAACCTATAACAAACAAGGGAGGTACAGGCCTCTACAGTACAGCAGCTGCAGGCGGCAGCCTGCCAGGAGGAACTGGGGGTACAGTGGCTGGTGTGCAAAATTACTTTCCCTGCAGCACTGGAAGTGATGTCATCGTATCGGGGTGACGCTCTAGGATTCGACCCCAACTCTACTGCAGCATGTGGCATTGTTCTCTGTTTCATCCTCACAACAACCCTGTGAGGGAGCAGTAGAAAAGACGAATAGTCCAGTAGCACCTTAAAGACTAACAAAATTTGTGGCAGGGTCCAGCTGATGATACATTCTCGCTGTATCTGAAGAAGTGAACAGTGACTCACAAAAGCTCCTGCCCTGCTACAATTTTTATTAATCTTTAAGGTGCTACTGACTCTTTTCTACTGTGACAGGCTAACATGGCTACCATCTTGACCTGTGAAGTAGGTCAGTCCGAGTGAGTGACAGGCCCTGGGTTATGCAGCAATCTTCCTTGGTAGAGGTGGGGTTTTAATCTGGGTCTCTTAGATCTTCCTCAGATGCTCTAAGCATTACACCACTCAGGCTCCTGATAGGTCAGGAAAGTGGTTAAGCCCCTTTTGTTTTGTTACAGAAGGGATGTTTCCCACCTTTCTGTTTGGGCTGTCTCCACCTTCCTGGCTGGTCCTGAGTGATTCCATTGAAAATACCACAGGGATGTTGTGGAGCTTCTCTGTGCCAAGATGTTATGATTCCCTTCATTTTGGGCACTGTGCAAATCCCACTATCA